AGAGCACCAGTGGCAAGATGGGATGGGTTCATAGCTTGCTGTCTTCTGCTGAAAGAATAGCTATTGTAAAACAAAAAATTGTCTCTAAGAATTGTTATCACTTACTACAGTGACGTCAAAGCTATGCCCTGTAGGATCCCTGAGAGACAAAGGAGAGAGCAGGGGTCAGGTGGGACAATGGTCTCTGACACTTCTCTACGAACAAGTTCTAGTTGACTTTCTTTTTGTATTGATTTTCAGCCCTACATTTTCTTTGACTAAATCACTTCCTCACAGAGAAAATCTTAAAGTTACTGTATGAGTTGGTGAAATAAATGCATATACTGACTTAGATCTTAAGGGAAATAGCATTTGCTTTTGTAAATACCATTCAAACATATGAGCGGTGATATTTTAATTCTCTATTTGCGTACATACATATGAGCCCATATATATGAGTGCAGGAGCCTGTGGGACACAGGAAAGAGTTTTGGATCTCTTGGCGTTAGAGATCCCAGCATTGAGGTGGCTGATGTGGATTCTGAGAACCAAACTGGACCCTCTCCAAGGACATTACAAGCTTTCTACTGCAGAGCCATTACTGCTGATGGATTACAACCCCATCCCTGAGTTGTAGTATTCAACTGAGTTGTAGCTGCTTTAAAAGCAGTCTTAACAGAGTACATGACCAAACACAGGAAACATGTAGCAAAGCCATGGATAAATACCAATTAAAATATAGGATGGCCTTGCAACCTCTCACACCCTTGTTGGAACAGAAGTGAGTGATGACTCTAGTGGGACAAATAGGAAAACGTAGTCATGTCTTTCATATTCCTGGGGAGGAAATGAATGTAACAGTGAGGTTATAGACATTCAGACAAGTTTTTGACATACTGTAAAATATTGCCCAAGCAAAGTGCAAATAAACTATCAGCCTTCCTCTGGTTTGACTTGAGTGGACGTTATGTCAGGTTTGACATTGGACTTGAGTGACTTATTTAGTCCTTATTTGGCTTTCAACCTTAAACAATAGGGGAAGAAAATAAGCCACTGGTGTATCAGGAAATGCTTTGAAATTAGAGGCAGAAGCCTATCATCAAATCCTCAACTAATTTGAGAGCTGAGTGTGACTTTGGATAAGTCATTCAACTGAATAACTTCTCTCCTTTGGAAGCTCTACTATCGTGTTAGGTGGTGATGTGTGTAAAAAGCTGAAAAATCCCTAAAACAGACTCAGGCCTCGTGAGAATAAGGAAGATTTGGGCAGCCCCTCACTGCTTGAATCGAAATTATTCTTTCTAAACTACAGCATCACTTACCTGATTTTCTTAACATATCCAAGCTTTCTCTGGCCGTTCTCTATAGAATGCATCGCTTTGTGCATTGTTCAATATAATCCATGTCAACAGTTTCCCAACTATATCTGACCCTTTAACCTTAAGGTTTCATCAGTTTGGTTACTATTTCTGTTCCTGCATTCACAGAGGGTGACATCTAATTGGTTCAAGCTAGATTATAATGTTAACTCATCTTAGATTTGTTGTCCTCCTGTCTCCACTCTGTTATGGGAGTGCAGTCATCAGGTTTCGACTGATAAGGAAGCTTGTTAGGAATTAGCAGAAAAAACTAGAACACACCTTTCTTCACAGTCTACATATCCTTAAAACACTAATCTTCCAACCCTCCCCTATATGAATCCCCATAGTCCTAGGAAATAGGAAAGAAGGCTCACTGCCCAATTTTACAGAGAGGAAGACACAACTACCAAGATTAAAGGACCTCCCCAGTAGCACTTTTTAAGTGCAAGTCATGATTGAAAGAAAGTTGAGACCTTTGGCTGGCTGTTCTTTCCTTACTAATTAATGCTGTGAAAATTCAGAACATATGCAAGTACAGTGATGTGACATCTGTATCAGCAGCAGAAGCAGTCTCAGGCTCACAGAGATGGAAGATCCACAAAAGACCACTAAAGTGAGGAAACATCTTAAAATGCGCGTGTATCTCTCTAGCCACATTTTTTACTTCGGAGGAGCTTTCTCCCAGTCAGTGGTATTTTTGTAAACCAGAAATGAACCCAAGGATTTAAATCCTTGGACAGGCCCAGTGCCAATGGAGATCTCCCCTGTCTTCACAACTCAATAGACAAATAGATTTTTTTTCATTCATACAAGTCTTAAAAGCACAATGCCCATAACCCACTGCTGACAAACTAAGTGAGATATCTCACTGTAAAGGACACATTAACAAATGCTAAAGGGAGACAAGATCCAACAGGAGAAGTTTCAACAAAAAGTTGTTCAGTAGCCTTAAATCCGTGGGGCCATTAGGAAGTCTAAATGTCCCCTCCACCTGACCTCTGATGAGGGTGGGAATGGGAAGAGAGATTCTCTCCGCTTTACTCAGCAGAACACAGTGAAAGACATCCTTGGCATGAAGCCTAACTGCCTGCCCTATGATTAATGTTGTTAAGCAAATTTGTGTGTTGTCATAGTTCCCACCCTGTGCTCCATGCTCATTTAGAAAGTGGAGCAAAGAGAGCCCAATACTTTGAGAATGTCAATGCAAAATTAAAATAATTGCTCATTACGTAATACAGTTATTAAAATATCCTCTGTTGTTCAAGAATCAAGTTGTGTGTGTTGATTGAGAAGACAGAAGAAATTGACATAATTATGGTTTTCTCTGAAAAGTTTCCCAAGCAGATAAAATTACTCTGGCCCTAAAGACCATAAGACATTTATTTTTACCTATATTGAACTATAGACTTCTGGGGAAGGTGGGCACTAAAGACCAATGTTTAGGTCTCTTTGTATCTACAGAATTTAGCCTAATGACTAGCACATTAAATACTTGCCTAAATAATAACATAAACTGACCCCCTGTTAAAGAATACACTGCACCGAATATACTTCCCAGTATGACAAAGGTTTGATGTAGGTGTACCACAACTACAAATCCTTCTAATTAGCACTACACTTAGTCTCTTTATAGCTTTGTGACTCTACATCCACAGTTTTAGAACAAAGCCTTCTGATGTTTCTGCCTTTGAGTCACAAGTCAGTGCTATTGACAAATGTGGTTATTGTATGCTTGAAATACAATTAGTACGAGAAAAAACATTAAGTTTATTTATCTGTAGTAATTTATATTTAGCTCAACCATTGTGATTTATGATTTTCATTCTAGACAAAGAAGGAATAGATTATGGGATGGTGATTGCCACATAGCAGTTACTATTTGCATGTATTTGTATAAGTGAAGGAATGAAAACGAATGAATGAAAAAATGCACACAATCAACCCCTCTGTCAACTTGCACCCTGCATACAGCTCTCAGAGGTAAAGCTAAAAGCATTTCCTATGCACGGATTTCCTGGGTTGTGTCAACACAAGTTGATTACATTACAGGGATAATATCTGTAGTTAGTGTAGATTTGTTTTTTCCCAACCACTCTTCCAACAGGCGTGTTTGGAAAGAATCTTGGAAGGGTGGAAATAGAGGATCCTCTGAGGCACAGAAGGAATGGAAAAGTAAGACAAGAGAACAATGTTGGGAGTGTCTCCCAAGGCTGAGAAGACAACAATAGTGTATGGATACCACAGGCACAGGCAGCCTGTACCTGTTCCTTTGTAAACCCAAACAATGTAATAAGACCCTAATGGGGAATAACTAGCTTGAGCTCCTAAAGAACCTTTACAGTTGCTTAAGTGCTATAGGATAGCACTCTAGCCTGCATCCTTAGAGAAAACATAGCTCTACAGACCACGCATCAACTGTGGTTTGTGGGGAATCAAATAGGACCTTCATATGGCACAGTGAAGGACACTGTCATGATAACGTTTGACCTTCCCACCAGATGGGCAGAATAATGACTTGGACCATGGTCAATTTATTCAGAGAAAGGAAAGGAATGCAACATTACTCACATCCTGTGTTTTAAAATAAAATCATATTGCTAGCCACTTTGTGACCGTGATTCAAAGCAGGGCTACCTTCGACACCACACTTATAGAGACCATGGTGAGGTAGATTTTTTTTGACTCATTTTTGTCACACAGCAAACACATCCCTCCAAGATAGCAGAGTACAGAATTAATTCTCATTATGCTCTGCTCCTGGGCTGTGTTCACTGCTACTCCTTTTGACCCGTGAAGAGTCTCTTAGATCAAGTGAGTGTAATTGGGGAACAGATGTAAGAAAATTTGGTCATCCATGAGTTCTATGTTCCTCTAATAAGCAGGGGTTATCTCTTCTTGCTAGAAACATATGGAAACTATAATCCTTCTCCCCAGCAAGCTTTCAGTCATGTTAATGGAACATCTGAGATCAAAATTGCCACATGTTCAAATGCTAAACATAGATTTTGAAACAATAATGTAACTTGGGGCATAAATGCAACAACATGCCAGGCAATACTACATGAAAGTCTTGAGGTACTGGGTTACGGGCCCTCTAGAGTATGTGGACTTGGGTAAAGCCATAGTTAAAGAACTGCAGTCAGTGCTGCTTTTTCCAGATTTTTCCCTCATTCTTGTTAGTTTTACAAGGGCAGGAAAACCTACACAGTATTTTCTGCCACTCCACATGTCTTGATCAGCATCCATTCCATCAACTGCTATTAATTTCTAGTATTCCTTATGTTACTTAGCAAACTTTACTGCGCTCATTGGACATAATATTATGATAGGACACCTCATTTGGGTCTTTCCAATTTTGGCTGAAGATCCTCGGATCATAGATTTCTTGTCTCACGATTATGAAAGTTAACTGTTGACCACTATGCTATTCTGTCACATAACACACACACACACACACATACACACACACACACACACACACACACACACACACACCATGTTAGCCTTAATGGGATTATAACACTTTGAAGAGAGTATACTGATCTGCTTTCCCTCAAGAAGAGCTCTCCCTCTGACCAGCTGAGTAATTTGTTCTCCTTTTACTAGGTCATATCTGTCCCTCTAGAACTCTAAGTTAAAACAAACCCCTTCTTCAGTAAGTTGTTTTTGATCACAGAATTTTATTACATTGACAGAAAAGTGAATTCTAATGCAGCATTCACGAGGGTTAACCCCAAAGTCCCTCATCTCCTAATACCTTGAGGGTCAAAATTTCAACATACAAGTTTGGAACGGACAGCACACTTACACCAAAGCACTCATTATAAAACTGTAGAGTTAGTTCATTGGGTGATTAGTTTCATTTATTAACTAAGAAAAGGGAAGTGGAAAAGATGAGGGAAAAAGGCTAAGTGACAAGGTTAGGAGAAGGTACAGAAGAATGGTGAAAAGAGGCAAGGGAAGGAGAAGGAAGAAGAAAGGAGACCTAGGTCACCCATGAATAACAAGAGTAATATGATGAACTCAGTAAGACACTTTCACTTTTATAAGTGTATAAGAAATTGCAATAAAAAGATTTTGTACTAAAAATAAGGCATATAAAAATCCCTAGACTATCACCATAATTGATTTGGAATAAGTTTTTTGTTGGGTCCAAAGCAAGGGAGAATTACCATGCAAACCAGCATGTGTCAAGATTGAGAATTAAGAGAGAAAGGTTAGGAAACCTGGTAACCTGTATAAGTTCCCAAGGTATACTTTTATCATTATCCCATAATGACTACCTAAAGAAATATATTTTTGTATCAGAATGACCTCCCCACACAGTCTAGTCCACATTCTGGATAAATGACCTC